GGGTCCATCCTTGATTGGTCCAGTTTTTCCCGGGCCTGGACTTGATCTTATTCTAGCTTGTCTGTTTGCCTTGTCAGGAGTTTTACAACTTCTCTCCGGGGTCAGGTCATGTTATCTCTGGAGAGGGGCATCTCGTGGTTAATTGGTTACCATCAGACATCCTGACTCTGTTCTTTTGAGTTCCTGGGGCTGGTGCCATCATTTCTGGGGACTTGAAACTGGCCTGAGTCTATCTATATTGAGATATCTTTGTCTAAGGCCCCCTTTTTGAGACAATAGAGTGAGGGTCTTGTTGTGCCTAGATCGCATCCCCAAAGCCGCTACTGGATACTTTAGCTACAGAATGCAAAAGTAAGGTGTTTTCTAAGTTTACAAGCCTCCAGGGAGGCTCTTCCAAATCTCTCACTCACAGCAGGGAGTTTGAGCCTCTTTGTGAGGCTAGTTCTTAAAGGCACAGACCATATAATTTATTTTAACCCGCCTCCCTTTTTTAGTCTTTTGGTCAAATATCCTGACTCTGTTTTCCAAAGTCCCTGTAGCAGATACAGCCACCTGGGGAAAAGGGGTCTAAGTTCTTATCTACACTTAGGAATCCTGGTTTAAGCTTCTCTTTGCCTGTAGGGGATAAAGTGGTGGGTTTTTACTGAGGTATCACAACAAACACACACACACACTGAGGCCTCAGCACCATCTGAACCTTAGGAGATTCATACTCATCCTTCAGGGAAGAGTGTTTGTTTGTTTTTGGTTTTTGTGTGTTTGTTTGTTTTTATATTCAGAGGTACCTGGTCAGTTTGGGCAACCGTGAGAGAGAAGCCTATTCTCTCTGTAGCCTTGTGATACAACATTGTTTCTGAGAACAATTTCCAAGTGAGACATTGATGTCACTGTGCAAAGATTGGCTTGCTTGGTGTCATTTCTAATATCTAAATTTAATGCAGCATTTTAGAGCATTGTTATTGCTATTCTTCACTGGCATTTAGTCCAGACGTTTCTTCTGTTCACAAAACATTTTTGTCTTCTGCCGCCTCTTTTTCACGTACGAATCTTCAAAACCTTGTATCTTTTTTTCTCTTCTCTCATTGGTAATTATGGTAGTTTTTAGCCCGTTTAAATTTTCCTTGGGTAAGTAAGGGTACACTGCCTTCCAAGTGCTGGGATTAAAGGCATGAGTCACCACACCCAGCTTTCTGGAGGACATTTAATCCACAAAAGACTGTTACATTTGTAAAGAGGGTTCACAGAAAAAACAGAATTGGAACAGGGTGTTGTGGCATATTCATATAATTCCAAGCACTTGGGAGGCTGAGGCAGTTGGAGCCAGGTTTTGAAGCTAGCCTGGACTACATCACAAGACCATTTTTCAAAAAACAATGAAAGTAAGTGAATAAATAAATAAATAAAACCAAGATCAAGGAGGCTAGGGGTGTGGCTCCGTTGGTAGAGTGCTTGCCAAGCACTCAGGAAGTCCTAGGTTTAGTGTTCAGTGCCCCAAAAAACTCATTTTGGGCCTGGAGAAATGGTTCAGCAGGTAAAGGCAGTGGGTGCCAAGTTGTGATGACCTCAGTTCAACCCACCAAGCCCACATGGTTGAAAGAGAAGACTAATTCCCAGAATTCCACACACTTTTTTTTTTTTTTTTTTTTTTTTTTTTTGAAACAAGGTTTCTCTGTGTATTTTTTGGTGCTGTCCGGGATCTTGCTATGTAGACCAGGCTGGCCTCGAACTCACAGAGATGTGCGCCTGCTCTGCCTCCCGAGTGCTGGGATTAAAGGCGTGCGCCACCACCGCCCGGCCCCATACACATTCTTGCATATATTGTGAGACCAAAATGAGCCATCTTAGAAATAAGACCAAAATGCTTT